CCCCAAAACCCCAAAACCCCAAAACCCCTGGAATCAATATTAAGCTCAAACATTAAAATTAAGTTAACTGAATAATGTAATAGAATTATCAAATGATAATAGATAAATTTGATAAGATTAAGATCATCAGAATTAATCTGAGGCGATTGACATTGGTCCTCTTTTATTACGGTCATGACTAAAGAACACAATTTAATTTTTCTACAAAAGCAATGATTGCGTCTATGTCTTTCCAGTGAATTGAGTCATTAAAAAGTACTTGAACTAAGTTTCTTCAAAGATATCTCGGTAAGAGTTGTTCGTCAAAAATGCTGAGTACTTGTCTACTGACACAGCTGATTCAGCTCTGTCATTTAGATCATATATTTCGACTTTAGGCATTAATTGAAAGTCAGAAAGAGAGCTCTCCTTGCGTCCACCAGTTTCCATTTTTGATTTCCATGAATACTAGTTGAGATGTGATTTATTTTGCTGCTCATAAAAAAGCATCTTAAGCTCTTCTTATATTAGCGATTCTTAAATTTTCTTACTAAGCATACCTTACTTGTAAAACATGTAGACAATAGTAGATCCCACTATGAAATCTGCTAGAGAAAACCATATGAATCTGTATCTTGCATAAAACTTTAAAAAATCAGATTGATCTTAGCTAGCATTACCGTTGTAGAGCATTAGAGGCGATATTATATCCCTCAAGATTAAGTTCAATATTTCTATTAAAATTAAGAAGCAAATCCACATTATCCAAATTTTATTGTAGCAACCTATGCCTTTTCTTTCTGCTTTGTATGCTAACATTCTTTGAGAGGTAAAGAAAATGTACAAGTATATAAATAAGGAAAGCATCATGATATCTTGAATTAGTTAGACGATTTTAATGATCCAAACTACAACAGTCTTAGGAGAGTCTGAATCATCTTAATAGTCTGGATCAACCAGTTTTGGATATATTAGGATGTCTAAAATTAGCTGCAATATTATCGAAACACTCAAAAATATCACTTTTATCCTTTTATTCATTAATAATCTCCGCTTATTTTTAGCTGGATGCTCTCTTATAAATTTGATGTAAACTGAGTTCATTTCAAAGATGAAGTAGTAAATAGTCAGTACTATTAACTACATAGTATTCATGTCAAAAATGTCAAACCACCCATTAACCTCCTACGATTCGTCATTTGTAAAGAAAAATATAAACCAGCCACCCACTTTAGCCCCCAAACTTAGCATAAATGCAAATATTACTACTTTTGCTGATCTATCAACTTTAAAGTCTAGTTTCATAAGCACTATCAATGCAAAGAGGGAAAAAAAGAAGAAGGTAGCACCGTAATAGCAAATGTTAAAATATACATCCTCTTATTTCATTGTTTTTAATCATATAATTATTACAAACTTATAACATATTGCACTCCTGGGGTTTTGGGGTTTTGGGGAGATCGGAAG